ACAATGCCATAGTAACATGTTAGCTGTAAAAGGTTCAAATCACCAACAAGTTCTGACAATTTCCAGCTATATTGGTAACTCACTACTATTATCGGTTAATGGACTGTATAGGGTTAAACTGTTGAATACAGGTATCTAAGATCTTTGAACTGAAAATCAATAGCCTAAATGAGTAAGTTCATGCAGAATGGAAAGGGCTCAAGAATGACAAGTTCTTCTACAGTCCTCCAAGCACAGCTTCTCCAACTTCAACTGAACACCCATCACTGACACTACAAAATAGAAAAGAGGGAGATGTAGGGAGTATCTGAAGCTGGAAAACGCTTATACATATAGGGGCAAGACAAGGCCAAAGTGGCTAAAGTGATCAAGCTGCCTCAATCCTAAGAAAAACATCTTGCCTGAGACAATCCCAGTCATTAGCCACTAGGCAACCCTGTGTATGTGATACTCACTTTGTGAAAAGTATAAATAAATGCCTCTACTGTTGTTGGCAGTTCTTCTTCTCTCATCAGGAGAGAAGATCTCCACCTGACCTCAGTTTTGTCTCTTGTCTATATTTTCTTCATCCTATTGCCATTTTTTCCCAGGATCATTGAGAGCTGTGTGGGTTATGGCAGGAGGTTATCATTATTTGTGGATGACATGATATTACCTCTTCCTTGTCTGGCCACTCCTGTTCTTCAAGGTCTGTGAGGGGAGTGTGGGAGTGGAGCTGCGGACATCCTTGTCCTAGGTCTTTTCCCTCCAATGGCCTTTGTCAGACAGAGCCCTGGAAAAGAGACAAAGCCTCAGGGTCTTTTTGCCCCCTGTGGCTCAGACCAGCAAAAAAAGCCACCAGATAGAGAAATAGACTGAAGCAGTGACTGCCCACCAAGTGTGTGGCTACCGGAAGAGACAATGACAAAATCAGAAGACACCTTCAGCCAACCTCTGCACCACCCACTCCCCACAGGGCTGTCTCCTCCCTTGATGGTGGCTTCTGCCTCAGAGCCCCCTAAATTAAGCCCTCTGGAGCTCAGACAGGACCCCAGCTCAGCTTGCTGGGACTCCCTTGACAATAAGACAGCATTGTATTGCAATGGCAAGTGAAAACAGCAAAACGACACCCAGGATTTGGAGGCAGATTTATTTATGTAGATGGGCGTGGATCAGGATCATTCCCAGACTATCAGGCCCTGATCTCTGGTGGCTTAGGGCTTATATGCAATAAGCAAGCAGGAAGTTACAGAGGCAGAGTGGTTTGTCAATTGGGGGTTGGTTTATACAATGTGCATCATAGTGACGAGCTGTGCATCACAGTGACCAGCTGTTTCTAAGAGACAGGAGCAACCAGAACTGGAACAGGAACTATTACCTGGGCAACTGAGAAACTGAAGTATACTGGCTGGGGGAAGCCATTTTCTACTACAGTCTGAGTGCTTACTTCAAGACAGAGAATCAGAAGGGACAGGACTGCGGACCACAGTGCCCCCAGCCACAGCCCCGCAGCAGGGCCAGCTCCACAAATGGTCTCAGATGCGACACCTGAGGGCAACCTGGAGGCCAGGGGCCAGGAGGTGTGGGGACAAGGCATGCTGGGCACAGGCTGTCCTGTTCCACTCCTCAGTGGGGCCGCCAGATAGCCTGGTTGGTTCCTCTTCACTCAGATTTTCCCTCTTGCTGTTGCCTCCAAAATCAAGTGGCAACCGTGGATTCCCCTTGAAGGGGGCTGTGGGGTGGCACAAGGCTCAGGAGAAAATGCCCCAGGGTGCCCTGCTCCTCTGGGTCCTGCCTTGGTGATCTGGTGAGCCTGGAGCTGGCTCTAACCTCTGACTTCATAGACCAGGCCCCTGAGACCCCTGATTTGTGCAAGCACCAGGCCATGGCAGTGTGTAAGAGAGGGCAACCAGCCTGGGTCACTGTTCCATCAGAAGCCAACCCTGTGACCTGCGTGATTTTCTTTATCTCTTGTCTGAGCCTGTTTCTACTCCTGTAAAATAGGCATCCTCAGTCCCTCTTTAGCTGGGACTGCTGCTGAGGGCTAAAGCAGATGCACAGCAGACTGAGCTAAGAATTCTCAGGGCCTGATAGTCTGGGAATGATCCTGATCCATGCTGTCTACACAAATAAATCTGCCTCCAAATCCTGGGTATCATTTTGCTGTTTCCACTTGCTGTTGCAATACCGTGTGGTCCTATTGTCAGGGGAGTCCCAGCAAGCTGAGCTGGGGTCCTGTCCAAGTTCCAGAGGGCTTAATTCACGCAACCTTAGTGCTCAAGGTTGAGAGGGGGCATAAATTTTTTTCAGGTTTTCCCTTCCTCTATCCCCAAGAACACTGTTATGGTTTGTGTCTGGGTGTCCCCCCAAAGCCTCATGCGGCCATGGGGCAGGCTTTTAGAGTTTGATTGATTATGGGTGTGAGAGCTACACCCACCCTGGGGTGGATAGTTTGCATATGTAAGGGAGAGGAAAAGGGTGCTTGAGGCCATTCCTGGCTTTTGTGCTTGTTGCTTTGCTGTGTTCTGCCGCCATGAGCTGTAGCTCTCTGCCATGTGCCACTCTGCCTTATAATCTGCCAAGTATGGACTGAAACCTCCACAAACTGTAAGCAAAATAAACCTTTCCTTCCTTAATTTTGGGCATCAGGTATTTTGTCCCAGCAATGAGAGAAAAGTAAACAAGACAAACACCCAACCCAACCTGCTGCTCTGTGACCCTGGAGTCTCAGCCCCTCCGTGATTGGGCAGAGGGCTGAAACAGGTGCCTGGCTGACACAGCAGGGAATTCTCTGTGGAATCCTGGCACAGCCTGTCTGCAAGGATGAAGCAGGAAGGCAACTTGGGAGCAACCGTATCAGTGAGGCTGGGGCTGGGGCCCAGGAGCCGGGATCCCGGGAGGAGCGGGCAGGGAGAGAGGGAGAGCGGGGTGTCCCACTGAATGCAAAAGGCACTGACAGGGGAGGCAGATGGCTGTCAGAAAAAGCTGGAGAAAGCCTGCCCACTTCTTTGGCTTGTTTCATTTAATCCTGAGCCCTGCAGGAGGCGGGTGCTAGTCTGTTCATCCTCACCTCACAGAGGAGGACACAGGAGTCATCCATTCAAGCAGCACCTAAGTAGGTCTTGCTGTGCGTCAAACCTGGCAACCAGGGGCTGGGGATTTAGCTCAGCAGCAAAGCACCTGCCTGGCAAGCGCAAGGTCGTGAGTTCGGTTCCCGGTACCAGAGAAAAACAAACAAAAAAAAAAAAAAAAGAAAAAGAAAAAAAAAAAACCGGGCAACTGCCACGCTGAGAACTGCTAAGTGTGACTGTATGCACGTGTGTGTGTCTGTGTGTGTGCGTGCACCTAGAAAACATTCCTGGAAGGGAAAGTGTCACAGGACTCCCATTCTTAGGCTGGATTGGGGTACTGGGATTTCAGGGCCACCATTTTCTTCTTGGGGTCTTTTTGGTTCTTTCAAGTTTTCCACATTAGACACAAATTTCCTTTGCAGTAAGGGGGAAAATAAGGTCTACTTCAAAAAAGGAAACTGGAGCACAGGAAATCATTATGGAATTGATATCATTTTTTTGTGTGATTTTACCAAAGGGGTGGACAAGGCTTCTTGGTTCAGTTCAGCCTCCCTTCCACTCTAGGGAGAGTGCTGGTGTGTTCCCGGGTGGCGAGCCAGCACCCACCATTCAGCGCTGTGCTTTCTCTGTGTTCTCTCTGTGGAGACATAACTCCAGGGTGGTGCGACCTCCTCCCTGGTCCATGGCATCAGCTTCTTTGCACAGGGGTGATGGGTGGACACCATCAGTCACCATCAAGGGTGGTGTGGTGAGGGTACAGCTCCAGTGCAGGAGGAGAGCAGGTGGCCTGTGTGTCCTTGTGTCATAAGGTGAGGTGCCCATTGTTTGGGTTGCTCTCCTGGTACCATCCCTCTTGTCACACTGTTGGATTCCCCCCACGTGTCCACCTATGGAGCTGGGGATTGTCCTCCTTGGGCACCATTGTCTCCAGCACTCTGAGAGCTCACTGTGCATGGAGGAGCCTGCCCCTGACATTGGGGAAAACTTGATCAGAGGAAATGGGGATCAACTTTCCAGCTGTAATGGGGTTCCAGGGAGAGTAAATTAGGGAACTTTTCCACATAGAATTCAACACACACACCCAAAGCAATGATTTTGAAATGATTTATTCACCAGGGAAAGGGACTGCAGCATACTGCTCATTAAATAGAGCAGCAAAACCAGGAGCACCAGAAAAGGCAACTCAGTGCCAATCCAAATACACACGGAATGGACAACAAATGAAAGTACATCCAAAATGCACAGTGGTTGTCTGGTTAGTGAGATTACCAATGGCTTCAATGTTGTCTTCTTCTTGGTGTCTTTGGGCTTTTCTAGAAACTATTTTAGTTATTAGGAACACAAGTTTTAAAGAACTGCACATCTGAGGGAGGAGACCAAGAATGGTGAACAAGGTCCTTGGTGGGAGTTGAGGCCTGAAGGACCATCGGGTTAAATAACCCTTAGTTATTGCAGACTGACCAGTCCAACAATCTCCCAAGCGAGTGGATGGTGAAGGCTTAAATAAATGAAACAACTGAAATGATTTTAGGGCTCCAGGAGGGTCTCACTCTCTTACAGCTTCGATATTCTCTGAGTTTAGACAAAGACTTCTCTGGGCAGTCCGTATTTATTTGGTTTACCAACAAAGGAGGGGGAATACTCAAGAACACGCGGGATCTGAGCAGGACTTGGGAAATCCTTTAAGGACTTCTCCAAGGAATATATTATGTTAATTTAGGAGAACTATGTTATCTCTAAGAAGGCCTTCACAGCAGGAGTGAGACGCCTGCAGCTACAGTCTCCTTTAAGTTAATTGGGGTTGGAGCCAGACGTCCTCAGCTGTGGCCTTATCTTGTTCTTAGAGGCATCACAGCTTCACAGGTCAATACAGGCCTCAGCAGTGACCAGTGACTCACAGAGGTTTACTTACTGTGAGTCCACTGCCCACCTTCAGACAAGGTGCCTAAGCTTAAGACAACTCACAAGTACTCATGGAAAGCCAATTGGTTAATACTAAATCCTGCTCAGAGCCACTTTGCAATGGTCTTTGTCACAGGACGCTTGGGTGAATGAGCTACTTCCTGCTCAGGGCGTCTCCTCCTCTGCTTCAGGACAGAGTGTTCTCCACCCACCTGCCAGGCAGGGGTCTCCCTGGCTCCCTTTCTACATTTTCACTGCCAACAGCACGTCCCTAGTCCCATTTCCTGGTTGGTGTCAAGTTGGCCACCCTGAGTTCTATATTCTGAGTTTCCAGAAGATGGGGCGGGTGGGGGAGGCAGCTATGGGTCTCGTGCTGGCTCTAGGACTCAGTAGGGTGTCACCCTGAAATCACCATTTCCACGTTCATCAGGGCTGCTGCAACAGGGTTTTTTTCCAATGCCAGCATTTGCAGCCTGGGCATCCTGGTTGGACCCAAGCCATTCTCTGGGGTCCACAGTCTCAGGCTGGAATGTCACATGTCACCCATTTGTCCCTCTCCACCAAGAAGAGTCATGGCAGGATTGAAGCCCCAGGTGTCTGAGTCTAGACCAATTTTAAGCACTCTCTGTCTCAAAGGCTAAGTTTCAATGCTGTGCGGGGTGGGGAAATCTGGTGGGGATGACCACACTGCCTCCCCACAAGGCTTGGTGGCTCACCTGGCAGGTCACTCCCACTGGGACCCACACTGGCATGCAGGGGTTCAAGTTAGAGCACTCCAGACAGTACCTGTTCGCCAGTGGAAAGAGACACAGAGCTGGACCTCTCCAGCCGACCCCTGTTGAGGAAGTGCTGACACTTGTCCAAGCGCACAGCTGCTTGTGTCTGGAACAGTTCGTACAGGTACTTCCGGAACCTCTTGCCCACGAACACATAGATGATGGGGTTGACACAGCAGTGGGTATAGGCGATCACCTCTGTCACCTGCATGGCCATGTCCAGCTGTTTGTTCTGCTCACAGTAGTTGGTGAACATGTGCAACTGGAAAGCTGAAACAAACACAGCCAGGTTGTACGGGGTCCAGAAGAGGAAAAAGATGATCATGATGATGAAGCTCAGCCGGACGGCTTTGGCCTTCTCTTTGTTGGGTCGTTGGAGCAGGACCTTGATGATGCCTGTGTAGCAGAACACCATGACCAGGAGTGGCAAGATGAGTCCCAGCAGGTTCATCTTCAGAGCCTGAAAGTACCGCCAGGCCTGATGGCTTTCGTGGGGGTAATAAAGGCTGCAGGTGTATTGAGTGAACACTCTCTGTGTCTTGGCAAAGTACAGGCCTGGGACAGAAGCCAAGATGGCCAGGGCCCAGGTGATGACACTGGTGACAATGCCGAAAGTGATGGTCCGGGCTTGAAGCGCAAACACGGAATGGACGATGGCCAGGTATCTGTCAATGGTGAGCAGGATGATGAAGAAGATCTCACTGTACAAGCCCACATGGTAGAGGCCAGACAGGAGCTTACACATGCCATCACCGAAGATCCAGGTGTCTCTCACCTTGTAGTCAATCCAGAAGGGAAGTGTGAAGAGGAAGAGCAGGTCTGAGAGGGCCAGGTTGAGCAGGTAGATGCTGGTCATGCTTCGGAGTCGCTTGTACTTCATGAGGACCAGGACCACCAGGATGTTGCCCACCACGCCGATGATGAACACCAGGGAGTACAAGGGTGGCAGCAGCTGGGACCCAAAGACCCTCACGGCCTCCTTATGGCACGGGGTTGAGTCACCATAGTCGTATTCGGTGGTCAGGCCGTAGTCCTCTGTGGGAGCTGGACTCTCCATCCTGGCCTGCCCTGTGAGTCAAGAATAATGGTTTCTGTTTTTTATGTTTCCATCAGAGGCCAAAGGCTCTGCACAATGAAGCCAAGGTCGTGGTTATATTTCTCCCACCACTTAACAAATGATTACTGAGGGCCCATCGTCTACCATGCTCTGGGGACAAAATGGTGAGCCAGGAGGGTGACCCGGGTCCTCTCTGCCCTGTGGACCCCCCAGTCCAACAGCAAGGGTGGTGCTGAACAAACCCTTGCACAGATCCTGAAGCCCACTACCCTAGTCATGAGTGTCCAGGAGACAAGCTCCGGCAGAAGGCATGAGTGGCCCTCCCCATGGTCCTGGAGCCAGGACTTCCTAAGCAAGTCCCAGGGCCAAGGCCCCAGACTTAGTGTTCAACAACCCTTGCAGAGAACTTCTTATTCCCACTTTAGAGTGGCTGGACAACACAGAGGTGCCCAGTGTTAGCAAATGTGCCTGAGGACACAGTTCCGGGGAGCAGAAGAACTGGAGCTCAAACCTGGTGGTGCGTTTGTCTGGTGTCCAGCCCGGAGCCCACAAGGCTCTCCCGCCTCTTACAATGGTGTGATGACATTGTCCCCTGCAGGCCCCAGGAGAACTCTGGGAAGGAAAACCTTCCTGGCTGTGGGGCATAAACTCACAAAGAGAGCTTCATAGCTTTTGGGCCTACAAAGGCCAAAGATGTCCTATAATGTAAAAATGACCCTCTCCAAACACAGAGTGTTCTCACGGTGAGATGGCAAGGTGAGCCCATCAGTTTGTACACGAGGGCAGAGAACAGACTGTTCAGCATGACCTGGGTCACCCAGGGTCATGTAGCCTAGGTGAGTGCACAGGTCACTGCAGGCCTTCTGTGCTGGGCATAGAGTAGGTTCAGAGGGAAGCCCGGGCTCTGTGTGTGTGTGTATGTGTGTGTGTGCGTGTGCACACATGCGCATGCATGCATGTAGAGCTTCGAACAACTTTGGCCATTTGGTGACCTCACAGAGTGACCAGGGTCCTGTGGATGTCCCTTGTCCCCTGAGAGCCGCCCTGCTAGGTCTTTTGGCTGACAGTCCAGACAGAGATGTGTCTGGGCAGTGAGGGCCGTGGCAGTCCCTTCCATGTGGATTCTGGTTAGAAATTTCTGGAAAGCTCCTGTCGAGAAGCAGAGCACAGAGCAGTGATTTCCTGAGTCCAGGAATGGTTGGGTTGGGTGGTGGAGAGCGGAGGGCGAATGCGTGGGGGGTGCAGCTGGGCCTGAGGGGTGACTTCGAGCATCCTGTGGCACTGTACAGGGACCAGGGTTGACCACAACTGCGAGTTCTGAGTAGGTCATAGGGAGGCTTTTGGATGCACCTCACCCGAAGAAATGATCAACACTGAGGGAAAAGACACAGCCGTTACCCCATTCTGGTCCTTACACATTGTACACATGCACTGGGATATCACACCATAGCCCATAAACACACTTGCTTCTAAGTGTCAACTAAAATTTAACATTAGAAAATAAGTGAATACGAATAAATGGGGTTTTCATTATGTGGCCACCAAGAACAGGAAGTGATTTGACCCAGTTGCCGAACATCATCCCTGCCTGGAACCTGGCTGCCTCAAGCTCTTCCTTCTACTCCGCTTAATGAGATTTCCTGCTTTAACATCCACATGTCCAGCTTGGCCAGTGAACACCAGGGCTGTGGCGGGTGGCCGTTGTCCTGGCTGGAAGGGGTAGCTCTTGGTTAGGGTGGAAGGAGGAAGGATTTTCATTTCCCATCTGATCTACCCCAAGGGCTCACTCCTCTGCCTCCACCTGATCAGTCCTGGTTCTGAGAAGCACAGTTGTCCCCCAGGGAGCTGTGGTTTTAGCTCTCTGCTGCCCCTGCAAACTGTGCTGAAGGCAATGGGCTGGGGCTGGCACCAGAACTTTGAGCTGGACTACTAGGCTGTTCCCATGAGCTCAGATTCCTGTCAGTCTGGCAAAAGTGACGGGAAAGTTGAGTCACCCTCACCAGCTGACCTCGCCCCTACTGTATTCGCTATTTCCATAAAATGCCAGGCCCCAAGTCAACTCCAGGCACACTGCGCCTGAAGATGACCTGGGAAGACCTGCAGGAGAAATGCAAGGACCCTGTTGCCATGGAATCTTCCTCCTTGTCACTGCACAGAGGTCAACTGTCCCCAGAGCCTGGAGCCACCCAGGCCTTGTGTCCTCCGGTCTGTGGAGGAAGTCAGAGGAGAGGTCCTGCGAACAGTCAGGGTCGGCCAGGACGTCAAAGCTCACCGAGTCTTCTCAGGAAATCAGCTCAGTGTCAAACCACCCTCGTATGTGCAGTGCTTTTCCTAAGTAGTATTTCCCTCTTGCTACAGTTTCTTAATACACCATCTTTGGTTTTCCTTTACAGGGGGAAACTTGACAAGAAATTTGTTTTTAAAGAACTTTGCATGAAAGTCACTTCATGTCTCTTCAGAGTGACTGGCTTTCCTAATTAGTCTCTTTAATGAAATCATGTAAGGAAATTTCCTGTTAGCTGTGCATGGTGGCTCAGGCCTGTAACCCTAGCACTCTGGGATGTCGAGGCAGGAGGATCAGGAATAGGAACCTAGCCTGAGCAATGCAGCAAAATCTTATCTCAAAAAAAAAAAAAAAAAAAAGTGCTGGGATGTAGCTCAGTGGGAAGGCCCTGGGTTCGATCTCCAGTACCTCACACCCCCATCGTGGTTTGCACCTGCACACAAGCCCTATAAATGCACCCTGCACTCCCAGGACACTAGGCTATTCAATGCCTTGCAGCTGTGCCTCAGTACCACCTGGTCCACACTGCCTGGCCCTAATTGTTTTACAGATGCACCTGGGGGGTACTCAGACACCAGCCTGGCCCCTGGACCATTCTCTGCCTCTGAGGAGCACCAAGCAGCCCACGTCCTAAACAGGGTCCCCCTTAAACAGTTGGTGACAGCATAGAAAAGCAAAGAACCACTTACCTGGCTCCAATGGTTTGCCTCTTAGTGTCTTTATGCACCGAAGGTGTGAGGTCTCAGCGAGTAGAAAATGCTCAGCTTCCTGCGAGATGGTGGAGATGGGGCTGTGGAGTCGCAGGCTGTCAGAATGACAGGAACCGGCTGGACTTCTTCTTCTACACCCGGGTCCTCCTGCTGGCCACAAGGCCTGCGCTGTGGCTGGGTTCACAGCTGGGGCTTTGTTTGCTTGGTGGCTGTGGGCCAGGAAGGACCTGGGAGGGCCGTGTGCAGAGATGGGCTAGATAAGGAGGTTACAGTGAGCTCCTCCCAGAGCTTGTGGAGCAAGGGGACAACCTCCTGGGGCGGGGAGGGCACAGAGTTCTGTGGTCAGCTGGACGCCTTTTCTTTTTTTAAGATTACAGGCAGAAGGATTTAAACCCCGCATCTGTTCCTCAAAACCATGTGGCTGGTCCTTGGAGCCTAGAGAGGCAGCTGCTTCCTCTGGGGCGCCCTCCCTGCTCACCTCCCCCTGCTCCAGAGTGGCGTCTCCTGGAGGAACCTGCCCCAGGGAGGAGAGCAGAGCTGGGGCTGAATTTACCTTCCCTTTCTGAGCCTCACCCCTGTTTTATGCAAAGATCAAATGGGTAATTTCCAATCTCAGCCAATCACCATGACTGGGTTCCCACTCTGGGAAATCAGGCTGCTAAGCATTTCTGCTATGAGAGGAGCATGTGGTCAGCTGGTATCTGGAAAACGTCACATTGCCTGACCCAGAGCGGTGTTGCATGCCTGTAAGCCTAGCACTTAAGAGGCTGAGGCAAGAGGATTGCTGTAATATTATGGCCAGGCTGGACTACACAGTGAGCTTGAGAGCAGCCTTAACTCTATATCAAGATCGTGTCTCAAAAACACAACCCTCCTCAAGAAGGAAAAGAGAGATATCAGATCTAAGCTGCTCATGATGACGATCCCCACCACCACTGAAACCTAGTGTGGAGCTGTGCTCACCTGCCTGTAACCGGGCTCACAGGAGGCAGCATTTCAGAACCCCACAGAACAAAGAACACTGCAGAGATAGGGTCATGACCACTCCTGGGCCCTTAGCCTGGGGCACATTAGGAATGTGGCTTGCCTTTTCCCCTATTTCTCCTCAGGCAGCCAGGGATGCAAGAGCTGTTTTTGCTTAAAAAAAAGAAAAGAAAATGGACTCTTCCTACAAATGCCCAGTAGGTGAAGTAGAGCAAAGCTTGCCTCTCATTTTGTAACCTTTGTTACTTTAGATCTTTAGGTCAAATTCCTTCTCAGCTCTGCATAAAGGTATGTCGGTCATGAGGGAGTGTTATCTAAACTTTGGCAAAATGAGGTAGATCAGCCCTGAATTTCCATGACCCCACCCCCTTTGAGGATGAGGACACCAAGATAAGGGATCTACAGGGACATTTAAGGACAGCCAGAAGCCTCCAGCCATTGTCCTGGACCTGTGACCCACTGTGTTCTGGGACAAGCAGAGGCTGGGACAATAGTTTCCTGGGACCAGAACCACCCTCAAGCCCTGAGGAGTGCGGAGCTAGGAAAGCAGGCCCCAGCTCTCCAGCAGTTCTTTAAGAGCTGGCCTGGGCCTCGGCCAGTCTGATTCCTGCCCCCAGCCTCCATTAGGGCAGCTGCTGTAGGTCAGCTCCCCCAGCTAAAGCCCCTTCCCAGTGTTTTTAGTTAACGCTTTTTCCTGTAAATCTGTGCTTTAGTTCTAATTTCTGTCACTAAATGCAAGAACTCATGCTAGCCAGCAACAAAATCAGCACTGTGAAGGGGCTCTGAAACTGTCCCTGGTTCCCTCCTGCTTTAGTTTGCTCCTCTGGGAAATAAAGACCTCAGAAGAGGCGGTCTCCACTTGGCAGTCAGCCATCATTCAGCTCCATCCCCCAGGAATGGGGGTCTGCAGGGGTCTGAGATTTTTTTTTTTCAGACTCCAATGGCTCATTGGTGTCCAATGAGGATAGACTGTGAGGCCTTCCTCTATCTTGACCCTGTGACCAGCCTTTGATTTCTGCTCTCGGTTTCTAGTTTTGGTTTTTTGAGAAAGGGGCTTACTATGTAGCTCTGCCTGGCCTTGAACCCCTCCTGCCTCATGTACCTCTTGTCATAAGTAGCTGAAGCACACAACAATAGGCAGGGGGTTGGGGATTTAGCTCAGTGGCACAGTGCCTGCCTGACAAGTGCAAGGTCATGAGTTCAATTTCTGGTACTGGAAAAAAACACCCCCCTCACAAAAAGAGACTAGGCAGATGTTTGAGTCTAGAAGAAAAGATTATCACCATGAACAATCTTGCTTTTATATTTTAGAGGACTTGTATGCCCGGAAGAAATGACTATATTTCTTATATTAAGAAAAGAGCAATAACAAATGTCACAGTTATATGAAAACCTTTTTCTTTTAACTTAGTTTTATATCAAGGGCTTCTTTTAATAGGAAAACCTTATTGTTTTACACACAGAAACCTTAGTCTGTTCATGATGACCAATGCAAATACATTACAATACTATGTTTAGCAGTATTTCTTGGGGTGTATTTCCCATAAGGCTATGGATATTACTGGGGTCTCATTAGAGAAAAAAGACTGGAAATAAGTATTTCCAGGCAGCTACTTGTTTTTCACCCATAGGAGACCTGTCCAGCAGTTTCCTTAAGCATCAAAGGTCTCCATTGAATTATCTTAACAAATTTTTGATGAGCTATGAAAACCAGATCAAAATGATTAGCACATTATTTTTGATCAATGAAAGATTTTTGAGTTATAGTACATAGACATCAATATATATTGCATTTGTAAACCCAGTCTTGATATCATTTTGATCAGTTGGCAATCTGGATAGAAACGTGTCTTTACTCTAATGGTATCTATAAGCCAATTTAAGTTATAGACAAATATTTTAAAAATCCAAAAGGACAAAAAGAAGAGAAAATTGCTGAGCTCAAGCAAAAACAACTGTAACCAGTCACAAGTTGAGCAGAGAGAGATAATTGTTAATAGACCAGAGTGCACTCAGATGTATTTGCCCAAGTGGAATTATAGCAACTTTTATAGTTTTTAATTTCTAACTATAAATAGACTAGAGAGAGCTTTTTGTGGATCCATTAACAGAGATCTCCTATAATATGAATCAGAAGAAATAAAACCCATTTACAGCTGTGAAAGAAAGACAGTTTTAAGATGGGTCCTAGGGTGATGGTTTATCTGATTGGAATATCCTGCTAAATAGGCTTCTCATATTGTTTTAATGGCCATAGTTGTTGGATAGTAACAGCTGAATGCTAAAACTGCTGTTTTAATAGCATGTCACTGTTTCCTCTATAGGGGCAGACTGTTTAATGTAGTTTAATATCTGTTTCCATTTAAAACTGTTGTTAGGGGCTGGGGATTTAGCTCAGCGGCACAGCGTCTGCCTGGCAAGCACAAGGTCATGAGTTCAGTTCCTGGTACCGGAAAACAAACAAACAAACAAAAAAACCCATAAAACTGTTGTTAAATTCATGATTCTCTAGAAATGTTTTGTTGCATTGGTGAACTTATCTGTGCTATCACAACCATTCTGCCTTGTGTTATAAGAGCTAGTCAGCATTATTCTTTGGAGGGAGAGAGGAGTTCATCTCCAGTTCTGCCAAAGGATTAAAAGGCAGATAAATTTGGACTAAAACTTGTATATTTATTCTCTGAGAGTTTCAGGATTAAATCTATACCAGTTTTTTTAATATTGCCCAGAGATGAGTGAAGGTCAGTTGCACTCTGGAAGAGTTCCAGAGAGGGGAAACTCACCCTTCTGGAGACTTGGTCCTGAAATTCAGCAGTTATGGAGGAGAGATTTGCCTTGGACTAAACTCTGTTGTAAACTGTGTTATTTCTCAGGCACAGGGCAGTGGAGAAGGGACAAAAGAGGGACTCCAAGTATGGCACAGGAAATAAATCCTCACCTTCTCAGGTACAGAAAGACAATTAAGATCATGAGCTTTCCTAGGGTGGGTCTCTAATCCTTATCAAAACACGCCTTCAGAAACAAAAGCCATGATTGGTTCCGATTGCATTGCCAAACAGAAAATTAAACTGATAAATGAACCTGATTGGGTATGTTTCAACCTTTTGAAAGAAAGTGAAAGGGAAAATGAAAGTCTTCTGATTTTATTGTTTAGGGTTTACTTTCTAATAAATGACTCTAAATCAAAAGTTCTAAAATCCCCACCTGCAAAAGAATCTATCACTCATAGAGACAGGTAATAGTCCAGAAGAAATCTTGGACCTAGATTAAAGAGGTCTTCAATGCAGTTTAGATTCTCTATCTGTGGGTATCAGGATGGCTGAATGGTCTAAGGCACCAGACTCAAGGATTCTCTACCTGGTCACCTATGTATTTTCCCTGTATAGCAGTGTTGGCTAGGCTCTTTTTAAACCACTCTGAAAAAATGTATCCCTGGGTATCTGTAACACACTTGAGAAACTCAGAGGTTGAAGTCTGTAGTCACTGCACTTCATGAGAAATCAATGTTTGATGTAAGGGTAACATTACATTTCTGTAATCTAGCTTATAGGTCTGAGGAAGTCTCCTAAAGGCCTCAGTGTACTTATCAGGATCACCTGAAAACTCTCCTAGATCTTCTCTGATCTGTTTTAGGTCACTGAGAGAAAAGGTGCACATAAATGCAGGTAGTTCTATATTCCCTATTTGTATCTAATATGGAATATTGTCCTTGAGAAGCTTGAATAAAATCACCTAAGGATGGATACAGCCTCACGGGGGCTTTCATTATGGTTGGCCTAGAAACTCCACATTCAGGACATGAAGGGCAAGTAGGGGAAGCCTCAGAGTCAGTAAGAGTGGGTGAGACTTTGACTGAAGTTGTCTTGAAAACCTCCAGGTTCCAAAGGTCGAGGAAGAGTAACCTCAGGCTCAGTGATAGTGGATGACTTACAGGCCAAGGTTTCTGGTTTTCCTGAGGCTCACGCTTACATTTGAACACAAGTAAGGATTATTTATTTAGTGCAAAGAAAGTTTGAACAGAAGACAATTTTGATCATTTTTTTTCTTTCTTATGGTGCAATTCTAGTTGTGAAATGACATCATAATGAACACTTCCCTCTACAATCCACGTTGATGGTAGGAGGTAAATGGTTGAGGGTCGAACTTTCCCCAGTGCTTGAGAACACATTCCAAGGGAGTAAGAGATTTTGACATGGACCTCCCAAGCAAAAAAAAATGCAAAAAGAAAAACTTGGGTATCTTTTAAAATTTCTGT